TCTGGCATTCTTGCGCGAAGTGCCCCGGTTGACCACAGCGAAAGCAGGCGAGAGATGGCCTCCGCGCCACCTAATCCTCCTGCTGACACAATCCCTCGCTCCACTGACAGCGTGCAGTGTCCCCTCTTCTCCGGTTCCACGCCGGGAGCGCAGCAGTGACGTCTTCCTCCGAAGTCGTATCGTCAAGTGGAATCACTACGACTTTCCGTGGCAACCATCCCTTCGGTTCCACGTCTTGGCTGGGGTCCCCTGTCCACGCCGCCACTTGAGCCCATCGCTGCAGATTCTCGTGGGCTTTAAGACACCTGGCGGCCCACCGGGATGTCTATATGTCTTCGTCACACACAGGTGAGAGACCACACCAATTTCTTTAGCCAGCCCCAACATTCTTTCCATGACGAGCAAGTCGAGGGCCTCCGGATTCACCCCAGGGCAAGCTGTACCTGCCAACGCCAACAACGCACTGCGGTAGGCATCTCGGTCTCGCCTACACTGAAGAAATGTCCTGCACCAGTTGGAAGGCGGCTCATACACATCCACCATCTCAGCATAAGCACCTTGAAGTGTAGCCTTTTTTTCAGGAATAGCTCTGAAGACAGCAAGAGCGTCGTCATCCAAAACAGTCGGCAGAGCAATCAGCGCCTCCTCTTCCGTCCAATGTACTGATCGGAAAGCCGCTTCAAATCGCCAAGTGAAGGCGCTCCAATTGCTTCCTGCCACGACGAATTATTCAATCTGAGGTAATCTGCGAGTACGATCGCTTCCATTCACCACGTTCCTAGCGGCGGGTGCCGCGTCTTGCGTACCACGTTGACTTCGTAAAATGGCAGACTCCATCTGCGCCTCCCCCGTGCCACCTGAAATGGCAGCGTCCGGCTGCACGTCCTCCTCGCCACGTGTAATGATGGCCGTCGGGCTTGTGAATGCTACCGCCAGGACGTCGACCCCGGACTCTTGGTCGTTTCTCCCCGGCGATGTCAGCGTTGAGCGCCCCACCACCGTCATCTCCGCGATGAGCGACACCAGCTGTACAACCACCGCCCACAACAAGTCCAGCTCCTCCGACACCTTCCTCCAGCCGTCTTCGGGCTACTGGTGCAGAGATGCTGCATCTAGGTCGACCGCCTCTGGCGCAGCCAACTCCCCCACCGTGGTTTAAATAACCGGGACCACGGATCCCAGGGTCGGTAGGAGGTCATGGGTCGCATTTTCATCATCGTCGAAAGACGCCACAGGTGGCTTCAATTTCTTATGATGTTTGGACATAATGAAATCTTCACTTTTTAACACAAGTTCTTCTGTTTAATCTTCTATTTTTTCAACCACTTCAGACTCCAATGTAATGAGCTACTTCGGCGACACGTCGTGTAGATGGTACTTCTTTATTCTGACACGGGCACAACACAGGCCAACCTGATCCTTCTCACTCTGAGTACACACCGAGATGATTATGTCTCTACTGGCTACACACATGGCCGATCACTTGGCGCGGTTCCACCACCCTCACTCAGCTACGCCGCTGGCTGGCGGCATGACGAGGATGGCGATGGAAGCCCACAGGAGATCTTCCACGTGGCCAGACGACGGAGAGATGACGGCGAGCAGCGACACAGTCTGGACCCAAGAATCCACACACGAACCCCGAGCCCTGGTCCACCCTCACTTATATCTCTCCAGGAGTGGCTAGGCTCCGCCTCCGGCCACGTCCTATCGTGGAACCTTCGAGCAGGTTCCCGGAGCATCTCAGCCAACCCTGCCTATTACCTTTGCCCCAGATACCTCTCCCTTCCAGATCAGATGTGACTTTCGCGGTGCCCATACCCACGCTTCCCTTTTCCCGCCAGCAGGTTTCATGTCATTACATGTGTGGAGTAAGAAAACTTAAGCGACAATCTGAATGTTACATCATGGCTTTATGCAGCCACTGGCTTCTGAATTGTTTCCACTAATCAGTGCACCTTGTCGTATTGCCTGCAAAGTGCATTTGTATAACGGCAATAAAGCCAATTGTTAATCATTCTTGGATCATGAATAAGTTTAATTTTATTTTTTAAAAATTCCCCATTATTACATGTGTATAGTCATTGATGACTAGAGTGTGGCATTTTTAGTTCAAGGGTCGCCTTTAATGCCACCACTATTATATTTTTGGGTCAGCCAAGTCACGCTCGTGCAGTGTGGCTCGAGTCTAATGAGAGTAATGGATATCACAACTGAGGCGGGCAGAGGGTTGGTTCGTCTATAATTTTTTAGACAAGATTCCACTGCCTGCTTTCACACCATAGGATCTCTGCACCGCAGTGTGCTTACACTATACCCCAGGACGAACACTTTGCCTCCACACACACCTGAGGCTACGCATTCCCAAACACACCTTTAAAAAGGCACGTTTAGCCTTAGCTAGCGTTTATCACCCACTGTTGTGCTACATTCACCAGAAGGCAATCTTCCCGGTGACGCTCGACGTCGCTCGCCATGGGTCAACCCTGGCCTGCCACCGTGGTCCGAGGAGGAAGAGATCAGGCGCCTGCTGGCTCCTCTCCACAATAGGCCAGCATCAGAGGTAGCTTCCCTGCTCTTCTTTGTCCGTCCCTGCTCCCCCACCGTTTTCGGGGACCGCTTCTGTTCGCTGCTGGCTGGAGCTCGCGAGCAGATATAGCTGGGGTCTTCCTCCATCCACCTTCCGCTATTTGGTGAGGAGGGGGGGGTGGGGGTTAGTCCCCATTTATAGGAATCCGGCCGCACTAATGGTGATTGACACTGTTTGTTGCAGGTGTCTCCCATTTTCATCAGCCGGCTTTCCCTATTACAGGTGGACCCCACCCTCCATTGTGTTCTGCCTTTACACTTATTAGTGCCATGTGACAGGATGCAATCATTAATACACTACTACTGGATAGATGTTGGCATTCAGGGTCTTATCAACAGTCAGCTTTGCTTGAATCAATGCTGATTAACTGCCAGTTGTATTATAGACAGCGACCCTTTCTGTTATATAAAAATATCAGAGTTTGACACAAAACTATAAATAAATGATTATTATTTTTACACAAGATAATCAACAAACAAGTCGACTCCGCATTACCAGCCCAGATTGGAAGCTTCAATCACGTGCGGCTAGAACCTGAATTTCAAAACCGGATCTCAGATGTGCACTGGCCACTGAATCTCACAGCCAACTCTTTATAATGATTGTTTTAATTTCTGGAATCAGCTGCAGTTACAAGCAGCGCCGGGGTCTGGGAATCGTCTCATGCCAAGAGCAATAACTCCTGTGTTGTTCACTTCTCCTTCTTAGTGGAAACATTTCCCTGCGTTCAGCGTCCTACAGAGATAACGTCAGTAATGTCCACAGCCAGACCACGGGAGTTATTTCGTCTAACCCAAACAAGAAATATATTACGTGGAAAGAATTTTCACAATGTCAGAGAAGTTTCTGAGACACAGCCAGGTGGTTCAGAGGTCACAGCACTTGGATAGAACCGCTGCGATGCTGGTCGTGAATCCAGGTTACAATTGCACGTCTGGGTAACTGGCTAAACAGGATTTTCCACGTGACAAATAAACATTGAATTGGATAAGATCGGATTCTTCAGTGGAGGGACAATCTCACCGATGACTGCACAACAACAAGAACAACAAAAACGTAACTTAAAATTCAAATTTGGACTTAATTTGGCTAAATTCCAGCTTTGAGGCTTCAAGAGAATCGGTCTGACTCTCACGTGACGAACATTTTTTTCTGTGGCAAGGTGGGTGGGAAACTGCTGCCCCCTCGTATGGATAGGAGGCATTTCTAAAGCCAATCTGTGACATCTCTTTGTAGACAGCCAATTAATAAAGTTTGTCACGTAAACAAAACGTGCCAATTAGTTACTACTGCAACACACCGATGTGTTAGAGAGTAACTAATTATCACGTTTTGTTTACGTGACAAACCTTACGAATTGGCTGTGTCAGGTGGTTTAACAACACATTTATATTTATGCGATCTCACCCAAGAAAACTTTTATTATAGATATATTCGCGAAAGCTCTTTTGTGTTAAACTGATATCTTTGGAGATCAACTTCCTTGCTTCTACTCCTCCACGACCTCCTCCTGAATAGAGTCACAGTCTACACCTGACCGCATTTACACATTGTGCTTTCCCAGATGTCCCACCTGGCCTCATTGGCCGTGGAACAGAGCCTAATAGAATGTTCCCACAGGAGAGGTTGGATGTTATGGCTCTTCACACCAGTGCTTACAACACCGATTTATTTTTTAATCGGTGGTCCTGCTGGTTGTCACTTGGGCTCAGGCGGAAACATTTGTGAGATTATTGGGTATGGCGGTCGCAGACTCCAGGATTCAGTTTTTGACTAATATAAAGAGCCTCGGCATCAAACTCAACCAGAATATTTCGTTCGATGACTACGTGCAAAATATAGTCAGGTCCTGCAATTTTCATATCAGGGCTCTACGACACATTCGACCACTTTTGAGTCGTGACATAGCCGACACAGTGGCACATAGCATAGTATTGACAAAGCTCGATTATGGCAACTCACTCCTCTACTGGACGTTTGCCAAAAACATTACCAAACTGCAGCGTGTAAACAAAATTTTTTGGCACGTGTCGTGACGGATACTGCAAGATGCGACCATGTCCATCCAGTGCTCGCCGGGCTGCATTGGCTTCTGGTTACCGAACGAATAGCCTCACTCTACACCAGTGCTTCTCAAAGCGTGCTGCCTTCTTAAGGGCTGGAGGGGGGGGGGGGACAGGCTGCGATATGGATACCGTGCATTGCAAATTTCGAATGTTAAAGGTGATCGTCAGCGCCATGTTCCAACGACAAAACACACTTATATGCAACATGGACATGTGATCTCTCTGTGTATTATGACCTCGGTGACCTCACGGGAGGTGGGGAAAGGAGAGAGGTGGGGTACATGTGGTCTTGACTGGGGTCCGCTGTAACACTGATGGGTTAAGAGCCACCACTGTTCACTCACTGGCGGGCTGACGGTGCAGTCCCGCACGTCTTGTTCGTCTCTGGGTGCAGCAGCAACAGCCTGCACTTGCTCGTTGGCCCTGTGCTGTCTCAGCAGCAGAGACGCGTCCCCCAAGAGGGCTGTGAGTGGGAACACCACAGCACGGTGAGCTCACACGTGACTGAGTGTATGTATGTATGTGTATGTTGAACTTTTTTCACACCATACATAGCCAACGGCGCTAATTGGAGGTGCGGGGGAAGGACAACAAACTTAACACAAAAAAGCAGTTCTAAAAAAAGTAGTTTTCATTGTAGATTTAGCATCAGTGGCTTCACAATATCGGAAGAGCATTCCAGACAGCCGCAGAAGTGCATCTGAAAATCACACGAAGCAGTGACTGTCTTTGTTCAATGGTCAGAGTGATATGCTTTGTTTCTTTCGGTAAAGTCACATAGATATGAAAATAATAATAAAGTGAATACAAATAAAAAAATAATAAAAGCCACGACGTTTCGATCACAGCACAAGCGATCGTCTTCAGGAGGAAAGAGGGGGAAGGTCACCGAAGACAACCGTTTTTAAAGGTTTCAAAAATGGGTGTGGCACAAGCGCTCCAGCGGCGGAACGAAGTGGGTGGGGCATATGTGCCCTGGGGTAAGGTAACAAGAAAACACAAATCAAGTCATGGCTTGACCTGTGCTCCCTTGACAAGAAAATACAAATTTTGATTTAAAGCTTTCGTGACTGCAGTAATTCATATTCTTAGTTTTTTTGGTAAAGTCACGTTGAAGAGAAACAACAAAATAACAAAATATATATAAAACAATAAAAAATTCTCACGACGTTTCGACCATAACTCAAACGGTCATCATCAGGTGTGTCGGTTTGCATAAATTTATTTTGAAAACGGCATATTTATTTATTTATATATATATAAAATAACGTTTGCGTCACACGCAACAATTGGCAGTTTGCCAGGACTAGTCCATCTATTTTTTGAAAAGAGGAGGGGGGAGACGAAATTTGTTTTTATGTATGCTGTCTGAAAGCCACTGTAAGCGTGAACAATCAATCAAGAACTGAAATGATTTATCAAATCTTTCCAATGATTGCTAAGATAAAATCCATCTTCTCGGTTGAAATTGTCTCTGTGCTTGTATATGTGGATAGCCTCATGAACGAATCTCTCATGGAAGCCAGATGGCTTACAAAGAACCTCCGTCTTGGAAAAGTCAATGGCATGTGAGCCTACTGAATTAGAACAATGATCTGCTACGGCCGAGGTGTTGGTCCTACCGTGTTTAAGGTCTGCTTTATGTTCACGAATGCGGTCCGAGATATGGCGTTTGGTTTCTCCAATGTAACTACTACCACAGAGGCAACTTAGTTTGTAGACACCAGGGTATTGTATGTCCGGAATCACATCTTTTACAGACGGAACCAGATCACGGATTTTATGTAATGTGTTGAAACGGACCTGGATCTTGTGTTTATTCAAGATTTTGGAGATCTTTTTTGTGATCCCAGCAATGTAGGGTAAAGTGATGGTTTTGAAAGGCTCCTCAAGAGGGTTCTTCTTCATGGTTTGAGTGATAGCTTTGCGGATTGTATAGTCGGAGTAACCATTAGCCCTAAGAGCTTGGTGTACGTGCTTGAGTTCACTGCTTATGTGTTCCTGGTCGGATATGCATTGGGCTCTATGATACAGAGTCTTGATGAGAGAATTCTTCTGTGATGGATGGTGGTGGGAATCCGGTTTCAGATAAGCATCCGTATGGGTAGCTTTCCTGTAGACAGAGTGGCTCATTGAACCATCAGGTCTCTTTTTAATTAGGACATCCAAAAAAGGTATCTTGCCATCTATTTCGACTTCCATGGTAAATCTGATGGCTGGGTGTATGGAATTGATGTGGTCGAAGAATTGGTCTAGAGCAGGCCGGCCATGTGGCATCTGGCCACATGGCCGGCCTGCTCTAGGCATCTGGCCACATGGCCGGCCTGCTCTAGACCAATTCTTCGACCACATCAATTCCATACACCCAGCCATCAGATTTACCATGGAAGTCGAAATAGATGGCAAGATACCTTTTTTGGATGTCCTAATTAAAAAGAGACCTGATGGTTCAATGAGCCACTCTGTCTACAGGAAAGCTACCCATACGGATGCTTATCTGAAACCGGATTCCCACCACCATCCATCACAGAAGAATTCTCTCATCAAGACTCTGTATCATAGAGCCCAATGCATATCCGACCAGGAACACATAAGCAGTGAACTCAAGCACGTACACCAAGCTCTTAGGGCTAATGGTTACTCCGACTATACAATCCGCAAAGCTATCACTCAAACTATGAAGAAGAACCCTCTTGAGGAGCCTTTCAAAACCATCACTTTACCCTACATTGCTGGGATCACAAAAAAGATCTCCAAAATCTTGAATAAACACAAGATCCAGGTCCGTTTCAACACATTACATAAAATCCGTGATCTGGTTCCGTCTGTAAAAGATGTGATTCCGGACATACAATACCCTGGTGTCTACAAACTAAGTTGCCTCTGTGGTAGTAGTTACATTGGAGAAACCAAACGCCATATCTCGGACCGCATTCGTGAACATAAAGCAGACCTTAAACACGGTAGGACCAACACCTCGGCCGTAGCAGATCATTGTTCTAATTCAGTAGGCTCACATGCCATTGACTTTTCCAAGACGGAGGTTCTTTGTAAGCCATCTGGCTTCCATGAGAGATTCGTTCATGAGGCTATCCACATATACAAGCACAGAGACAATTTCAACCGAGAAGATGGATTTTATCTTAGCAATCATTGGAAAGATTTGATAAATCATTTCAGTTCTTGATTGATTGTTCACGCGTACAGTGGCTTTCAGACAGCATACATAAAAACAAATTTCGTCTCCCCCCTCCTCTTTTCAAAAAATAGATGGACTAGTCCTGGCAAACTGCCAATTGTTGCGCGTGACGCAAACGTTATTTATAATAAATAAATAAATAAATATGCCGTTTTCAAAATAAATGTATGCAAACCGACACACCTGATGATGACCGTTTGAGTTATGGTCGAAACGTCGTGAGAATTTTTTATTGTTTTATATATATTTTGTTATTTTGTTGTTTCTCTTCAACGTGACTTTACCGAAAAAACTAAGAATAAGAAAATACAAATCAAGTCATGACCCTAAGTGGTTGATGACATATTTCCAATGATTGCTGAGATTGTACCAATCCTCTCGGATAAAATTGCGTCTGTGTCAGTATATATGGATGGCTTCATTAACGAATCTTTGTTGATAGCCAGTGGGTTTGCAAAGTACCATCGTCTTAGAGAAATCAATTTCGTGTGAGCCAGCCGCATTTTAAATAATGATCAGCCACGGCAGAAGTATTGGTCCTACCGTGTTTCAAATCTGCCTTTCCCCAATCTAACTGCTGCCGCAGATACAGCTTAGTTTGTAGACGCCGGAATATTGCATGTCAGAGATCTTGTCCTTCACAGATGGGATCAGATCACAAATTTTATGTACTGTGCTAAATCGGACCTGGATCTTGTGTTTGTTCATGATTTTGTAAATATTTTTGGTTACCTCTGCTATATATGGCAAGGTGATGGTTTTTATTGAATCCTCAGATGGCTCCTTCCTCACGGTTGGAGTGATGGCTTTGCGGATTGTGTGGTCATAATATCCATTCGCCTTGAGAGCTTGGTGTATGTGTTTGAGTTCACTGGTTAGGTGTTCATGGTCAGAGATACATTAATCTCTATGGTGTAAAGTTTTCATGAGGGAATTATTCTGGGATGTTTGGTGGCGGGAGTCAGGTTTTAGGTAGACAACAGTATGGGTTGTTTTCCTGTAGACAGAATTGCTCATTGAGCAATCTGGTCTCTTTTTGATTAGGACATCCAAGAAAGGTAGCATGCCATCCTTTTCTACCTCCACGGTGAATTTGATGGCTGGGTGTATGGAATTGATGTGGTTCAGTGATTTGCGTTGTGTAATACAGATCCTTGCCTGGAACTAGCAACCATATCGAACAGCGAGAGGGTCTTTGGCAGTGGACACTTGACAGTTTACCAACATTGGTTCAAGCAAGTCTGGCTCGGCTGATGAGGCACTTGAATTTCGAGACTTGCCCAGAGAGTTGCCTGTACTGTATTAAAGAAATGCTCATAAAAAAAACAATCACTCCCAAAGGGCCGTGAGGGCAATGGGATGTGTAAAAAAATATTTCCTGTGGAGGGACAACTAGGGGAAGTAGGAGAATTGTCTGTTTATTTATTTTGTCACTAAATGAATAACGCCTCGTTCCCATAATTGTGTCTTCACATAAAGTAAGTTTTACACATCCCATCGGTCACACAATCTTCTGGGAGCGCATCTATAACCTGCCGCATAAGATGTTGAACGTATTGAATAAGGCCATACGCCTATAAACAAATCAACCAGAATGCGAGTCCGGTTTTGTCAGATGTCGCAAGTTTAGCTGGCTAGGGGCTGCATCGCGCTTGAATGGCTGACACAATAAATGCCCCACACTCGTTGTTAAGACTACGTGGTGGGTTGCGCATGCCTGTGGAGCAACATCCGTTGTTGCACTCTACTATGCTCCAACATTTATGCTCGATGAGCCCCGAGGTCTAGTACTGTATGGTCAACTAACTATCACGAGCCGCACACATGCACAGACTATATTTTAAAGCAACTAATTGCTAAACTACGGACAGAATAATTATCAACATTTCCATCAAGGCGTCTTGAAGGTGATAATTATTTAAGTGTCAAGTGTGCTACCTAACCAAAGTGGCAAGGTGTCGTTGTTCCTACCACTCATCAGCCGAGCTGACGTAGGTTGCATAATTGTCACGTGCGTGACAATGATAACTGCTTTGCAGGCAGGAATTGACGCAGCTGACCGCATGGCATCGTGGACGTTTAATTTCGGATTCTGGTCAGCAAGCCAGTGGTGACCCACGGCTATGGCCAGGAAGACGTCAGAGTTGCTTGAGGCAATCATCTTGTCCGAGTCATCCATGGACATGACACGTGCTCTGGTTTAGGGTCTCTACTCTGCTTTCCAACCCAATAGTATTATAATTGCAATACAAACAATAGTATTACAATTGCAATACAAACAATTGTATTACAATTGTTCCGAAGAGTCGTTACCAGAAACCTCGGCCGATTACTGCATTCTCTAGACTATGAGAATCCCCAGAAAATTTGTATTATGTTTTATTTTTATTATTTTATTTCCATTCTACGTGACTTTACCGAAAGAACCAAGAAGATGAATCCCCAGAAAGTAAGACGAACCCTAAACGTGAGTTCGTTGACCATACAGTTTTACGAATCTGGTCACATACCCACACTCCGACAGATCTACACATTCAAAGACACATACACATATTCTCCAATATAGTATTTAACAGATTAGTTTAACACGTAGGCTTTCGCGACCAATATTATTCATAATAAAGGTTTTTGGGTTAGATCGCGTTTATTTATAAATGTGTCGTAACCCTCCACCACCCGACACGGCCAATCAGCAAAAAAAGTGTCACGTTGACAAAAGACAAATAATTCACTACTTCAGCCCACCGGTGTGTTGAAGAGTTAATCCACATTTACAGTTTGAGTACGACGTTTCGCTGGTAAATACTTCCAGCATCATCGGGCGAATTGCCCGATGATGCTGGAAGTATTTACCAGCGAAACGTCGTACTCAAACTGTAAATGTGGATTAACTCTTCAACACACCGGTGGGCTGAAGTAGTGAATTATTTGTCTTTTGTCAACGTGACACTTTTTTTGCTGATTGGCCGTGTCGGGTGGTGGAGGGTTACGACACATTTATAAATAAACGCGATCTAACCCAAAAACCTTTATTATGAATATTTAACAGATTGTTGTGGCAAGTGCTGTTTGTAAGCACCTGTTAATGCCGGCGCGACATACGCCAGGCCGCCTTTGTCCCCCCAATGCTGATGCTTACACATCACACCAGGTACTCATTTAAGGCAAAGTCGACTTAGGGGAGACTCAAGACAGGTTCATATATTTGTCATCAATGTGTTCGTGAGCACAGTGGGATAACCAAGCACACACATCGACCACATTGTGAGACGCGCGTCGAGCTTTGCTTTAAAATACAGCACAGAAAGTGCGTCCTGGAATGCCGAGCGGTATTATTCTGATCCAACTTTATTCGCGTGTGGCTGCATGTGGCACAGTTTTAATTATTTTGGCTCACAGAAAATTTTCAGAATCGGGCGCTTTTCTTTGTGGAGTTGCTATTCTCTCTCCCTGCTCTGCATGAGTTTCCTACTATAGAAAAAATAAAATCCCATTAAATGTAACTGGTATTGGCCAAAACATCCCAATGCTGAAATAAATCATCTGCAAATCAATCAATTGGGATGACACACAGCAGCAGCAGCATCGCTCCCAACTGCCACCCTCCTCAAAACGAGTCTTGAAACTGAGTGAAGCTTTCCTGGGTAAATGAGCATCATGATAAACAATAATAACCAGTTGTTATATAAGTCGCCTTCCTTGCACCCGGTCTTTGTAGACCACACTCAGTCGCACCCGAATAAAGTTGAAATATTAATTTTGACAAAAGGCTGCAGACATCACCAATCCAGAGGATGTGTTGCATTATTGTCAGCGTTAATGATGAACATGACGAGTCGTATTATTTGTAAACAAAGACAATGGCAACAGGGGGCCTTCAAATAAGTGAACGTGGCTATATCTGCGATCAAAGTGACGCAACAGCAATCGTTCAATCTCGTCAGTCTCCGGGTTGAGCCTGGAAAGTGCTTGGAAGGGTGACCACAATGCACAAAGAGGGAACCATCAAGGTTCGGGTGGCCACGTAGTGGACAGCAGAAATTAATTGTAGAAAAAAATCCGATGATGCTTTGCTGTTCTTCTGTCTTCCTGCACCCATACTCCCCCGCCTTGATGACGCGGTGAGGTACGGTCAACCAATCCTCTGCTAACCCCTATAACCCGCACGGCTTATAGTTGTTAGCAGTGGATTGATATAAGTGCATTGATTAGGAACGGAAAGGGAAATGCTTTGAATTGAATGCGATTTGAATGTTGTAATTGGGACGTGCAGCCTAGGTGACGTGGAGCGCACTGTGAAACGAAGATGAAGATTTGACAGTTCTCAGCATAAAATATAATCTTTCCAAGTATTTCCCAATCAAATACAGAATATGTATATACCGGATTACCTGGATTATAAGACGCACCCCTGATAGTATGCCCGTTGTTGATTAAGTTATGCAGATCGTATCACGAAAATAAATATCCTTCGTATAGTCTTAAGATACCTTTGGGACAAGTGCTGTTCGGACGCACCTCTGAAAAACCGAACCGGCCAACACCACGCCCGGCCGCGTTTCCCTTCATAGTGGCGATGTTTACACATCGCACAAGGTACTTATTTGCGGCTGAGTCGACCTAGGGGAAACCCAGGGTCAGTTCAGATAATCGTCACTGGCGTTGGCCGTGAGCGGGAATCGAACTCGGTTCGCTGGCTTCGTAGCGTAGCGCAGTGCGCTACCGCTCCTCACGACAACAGTAACAACCGACATTGGCAACGAAGTGGCGGTGACGTCTACCACAGCTATTGTGCCAGGCTAGGTGCACTTTGAGGCCACGTGAAGTGTCGAAGGCATGATGCTGGTAGGAAGTTACGGGCTTAACCCAGGTGCTTTGGGTTGACTGACTGATATGGCAGTTGCATGACCTGTGTCACCTTGCTACGTTTTAGTCGCTCGACGCTATGCTTATTCTTGTGAGGGTCGCTCCTCTGCCCTCCACTCCCCCCCACCCACTCACCTACCGCATTATAAGACGCACCCCCAACTTTGTTCTGATAACAAAATACAGCGGAGATGAGCTGGAGGAGACGGAAGTGCGTCTTACCAAAATCATCGGATTCCTCCATTATTATTCATTTATAATGGAGGAATCCAACGAGCTATAAAACTCTTTTTCACAGATGTCCATTCGGGGCGGATCAGAACGTTACAACAACAAACAATACAAACACGATAGGAGTGCAGAATACAGGCAAGGTCAATACGTCGTTTCAAATATCTACACAAATAAAACTAAACAACAGTTGGATCTTACCAGGTAACGCCACAAATGATAGCTCAACAATGTGGCTTATCACGTGGACATGTGTGATGCGCGTGTGAGACGCGGCAGCAGCACTCACCTTGTAAGAGGGCGAGGAGCAGGGAGAGAAGCAGCGCGGCGTGGCCGTCCATCCCGCACGCTCAGCGTGGTGGAGTCGAGGATCGGCTGCGGCTGCTGCGGCTGCTGCTGCCGCCGCTGGCCCTGTGCTAACTTCTGCGGTCTTATCAAGGCGCGTCGCAGCGCGGAGACTGGCTGCCCCGTCTCAGAACCCACCGGGTAAATGATTACAGGAGGATTCTTGGACTCTTGCTGAGGTTTTTCTAAGTTTTTGTTTACCGAGGAGCACACATTGTCGAGGTCAAAGGGTAGCGATCGTATTCTCAGCCCAGTGCGTGGGGAGTGCATCGTATATCACGCAGCCTATCATCACACAGTCGGTATGATGACTCTTAGTATGTCCCGCAGCCTATCATCACACAGTCGGTATGATGACTCTTAGTATGTCACGCAGCCTATCATCACACAGTCGGTATGATGACTCTTAGTATGTCCCGCAGCCTATCATCACACAGTCGGTATGATGACTCTTAGTATGTCACGTAGCCTATCATCACACAGTCGGTATGATGACTCTTAGTATGTCCCGCAGCCTATCATCACACAGTCGGTATGATGACTCTTAGTATGTCACGCAGCCTATCATCACACAGTCGGTATGATGACTCTTAGTATGTCACGCAGCCTATCATCACACAGTCGGTATGATGACTCTTAGTATGTCACGCAGCCTATCATCGCACAGTCGGTATGATGACTCTTAGTATCTTCTTTGGTTCTTTCGGTAAAGTCACGTAGAATGAGAATAAAATAATAAATTGATAAAATAAAATTACACAATAATATTCTCACGACGTTTCGGCCACAACACAAGCGGCCTTCTCACTCCAGCGCTGTCCTCCAGACAGTCTCGTCCCTTCACCTGATGAAGGCCGCTTGTGTTGTGGCCGAAACGTCGTGAGAATATTATTGTGTTATTTTATTTTATCAATTTATTATTTTATTCTCATTCTACGTGACTTTACCGAAAGAACCAAAGAAGATGAATCCTTGCAGTCACGAAAGCTTTAAATCGTGACTCTTAGTATGTCACGCAGCCTATCATCACACAGTCGGTATGTTGACTCTTAGTTTGCAAATGTTTTTTTAATCCATGCGTTGCTCTCTTTGGTTCTCAGTCTCATTCTAAGCACGCTTTTTTCTATTGTTCTGTGCTTAATGTTAATCTTGCTACATTTCTCAATGACCATGTTTCTGAATCATCATGTGTTGCCATAGCAGAAGGTGTTACGCGCCGATTACAAAATTATATTAATTCTCTCGGAACGTTGATAAGTTGCTTTTCATGATCAAGTTCAGATTTTCAAAACACTCCTCTAAATTGTTCTCCTTTATCTCTTTAATTCATCATCCCACCAAAAAGACCGTGGGACGACAGACAACGTTAGACGGACGTAATGCAATCAATGCTGCAGAGTTACGCTCGGGATGAATTCTTTATGAATACTGTATGAGCAAACAGAGCGAACAGAAGAGAGGGAGTAGAGGCTTCATTGGCAAGGGTCTAGCAAGAGACGCGCAGGGTGAGAGTGGCCAGTGGATGGGGGAAGGCGCTGCAGCGAGGGCCCAAAGGAAGAAGGCGCTGTGGCTGGTGGCACTAAGAGAGCGCGGTCCCTTTCGACTAGAGGAGGGGGGGCCAGGCTGACGTCACCACAGGGATGCAGAAGGGAAGGAGGGGACCAGGGGAGGGAGGACCAGAGAAGGGGGAGCATAAGGGAAGGGGGGGGAGGGAAGGGGTGACCAGGGGAGGGAGGGACCAGGGTAGGGGGGCAAAAGGGAAGGGGGGCCAGGGAACGGGGGGGGGAGGGAACGGGGGCCAGAGAAGGGGGGACCATGGAAGGGGAGACCAAGGGAGGGGGGAACAATGGAGGGAGGGACCAGGGGAAGAGGGACCAAGGAGGGGGGGACCAAGGCAGGGGGGCAGAGGCGCGGGTGGCAGAAGATTTCATGGTGGAGCGCTGGGAGTCGACAGTGAGCGATCGAGGGAGAGAAATGTGAACGCGGGGAACCCGGTTCATGTACGACAACAACAACCGCCATTCGTCAATAAGTGGCGGTGACGTCACCACACCGCTTGTTCCAGGCTAGGTGCACTTTGAAGTGTCAAAGGCTTGCTCGCAGGAGCTTACGGGATAGACCCAGATGCCATGGGTTGACTGACTGAGATAACTGGCAGAAGTTCAACATACACACACACGCAGCTACTAATTAATGGGAATAAGTTCAACATACACACACACAGCTATTAAGTCATGGGAAGGAGTTCAACATACACACATGCAGCTACGAAGTCATAGGAATGAGATAAACATACACACATGCAGCTACGAAGTCATAGGAATGAGTTAAACATACACACACTCAGCTATTAAGTGATGGGAAGAAGTTCAACACACACATACAGCTACTCAGTCATGGGAAGAAGTTCACCACACACACACATACAGCTACTAAGTCATAGGACGAAGTTCAACATACACACACGTACAGCTACTAGGTCATAGGACGAAGTTCAACTCACTCACGCAGCTACAAAATCATGGGAAGGAGTTCAACACACACACACATACAGCTACTAAGTCACGGGAAGGAATTCGAATTGGCTGTGCCTCTACGGTGTGACGGCAGTGGCTAAGGTGGTGGACTCCACCTCGTGGACTTTGGCACCGCTGCATGTGTTGTGTGTGTGCGTTTATGAGTTATGTTGATTTTTTGAGTGGCCTTGCCTTGGCACGAGCGTACTGAAGCTGTATGGGGAGACAAAGGTCGCGTGGGATATGGAACATCTGTAAGTATGCACGCGTATATTCCTTCCTTCCCGTTCATCATTTTATTCTTACAGTCAGTCGTTCTGTTTTCAAGTATCTTTTGTTTGACGAGGTGAGAACTCACGAGACGAGGAAAGTCAACATTTGCATGAGTGACTTAGAACCACCTTGGGCGTGTGTTAAAGAACATCTGCAAGCGATTAGTTTGGTGAAGAAATAATGTTGGTGTACGTGGAGATCTTAAGGTAGACAGGAGTTGATGAGTGTCATCAAAATAACGAGGTGTACTCGGTTTGCTAGTGTGTTATCTTATCTTATACACTTAGAATTGTATAAAGGTGATAGTGGTTGAGATAAATATTGGGGTTATTAAAAGTGGTGTAGTTGTGGTGACAGGAGAACAGGCGGGAGAAGTTAAGCAGGGGTAGTGATAGGGGTAGTGATAGGGATCGTGATAGGAGTAGTGATAGGGGTCGTGATAGGGGTAGTGATAGCGGTTGGGATAGTGATAGGGGTAGTGATAGGGGTCGTGGTAGGGGTCGTGATAGGGTGTAGTGATAGGAGTTGCGGTAGTAAAAGGGTGTAATGATATGGGTAATGGTAGTGATTGGGGTCGGGGTAGTGATAAGGGTAGTGGTAGTGAAAGGGGTTGGATGAGTGATAGGGGTAGTGATAGGGGTTGGGGTAATCATAGGGGTAGTGATAGGGTTAGTGATAGGGTTAGTGATAGGGGTAGTGATAGGAGTTGGGGTAGCGATAGGAGTAGTGATAGGGGTTGAGTTAGGGTGTTGATAGGGGTAGTTATAGGGGTTAGGGTAGTGATAGTGGTAGTGATAGGGGTAGTGGTATGAGTAGGGGTAGTGATAGGGGTAGTGATAGAGGTTGGGGTAGGGGTTAGGGTATTGATAGGGATAGTTATAGGGGTTGGGGTAGTTATCGTGGTAGTGATAGGGATTTGGTAGTGGTAGGGGAAGTGATAGGGGAAGTGATAGGGGTAGTGATAGGGGTAGTGATAGGGGTAGTGATAGGGGTTGGAGGAGTGATAGGGGTATTCAAAGGGGCTGTGGTAGTGGTAGGGGTAGTGATAGGGGTAATGATAGAAGTAGTGATAGGGGTTGGGGTAGTGGTAGGGGTAATGATAGGGGTAATGATAGAGGTAGTGATAGGGGTAGTGATACTCTCAGTCAGTCGACCCGTGGCATCTGGGTCTGCCCCGTGACCTCCTGCCATCGGGCATTCGACACCTCACGTGGCCTCAACGTGCACATAGTCTGGCACAAGCGTCGTGGTGACATCACCAGCACTTAGTTGCGAATGGCGGTTGTTGTTAGTAGTGATAGGGGTAGTGGTAGGGTTAATGATAGGGGTAGTGATGGGGGTAGTGATAGGGGTAGTGGTATGCTGGGGGCAGGGGGTAGCAGTAGCAGGATGATGCTGGGCTATGAGAGAAAGATGGGTTGTTTAAGGGAGGAACGGAAGCTGCAGGTTGTTGATATAGTGTAGATGGTTGCTCTGTGTGCTGCAGTGGGAGTTGGTTCCAGTGAAGGGGAGTGAGAAGGGAGCAGGAAAGGGAGAGCGAGACGGGGTGCAGGGCCAGAGAGGCACAGAGAGGGACGGTAGAGACTGTGAGCGTAGAGGGCGGGATGGGATAGAGTCGTGAGATCCGAGAGAAGAAATCTAGGGTGCGACAAGACCGTGGGAGAATTTAAAGACGAGAGTGAGAAATGTGAACAGGCAGCGATAGCAGACTGAGAGGCAGTGGAGTTGGGGGAAGGAGAGCGGAAGTTTGGGGATTGTGGTGCAGGTTAAACATGATGCATTATCAGCTTTGTATATCATGCATGGATATCTCTCGGTAATCTGGTTTCCTGCCACACACACAAAAGAATGTTTTTGCGTATGAGAAGCTTGCCACAGATAATCGGTAAATGATCCATGCTGTGCACCATACATCAATGATCAGCTAAACAAGACACGAGCTTTGATCACGTTACTGTTTTGCGAGAGTGATAGGGCAATAAAGGAGTCGTCAAACTGGCTTGTGAATATACCGCTGGTGTTCCTTTATGGGCCAAACAATGCATCTCCTCATTTGTGTCCCACGAATCATAGATTTTATACACTTGAGAAGCTGGCCAATCCACAAGCAATTGAGATCCGGATACAAAACTCACGATCTAAGCGGTTAATGCCTTGTAAAGTAGACCACTTTACAAAATTGTTTACACATTCATAGTATAGCCCAAATTAAACTAGCAAGAACGACTAAAAATGTCCTCAAATACTAGCTCTTCCTCTGTGAAACATAGCTCAAGGCTAGAGCTCTTGACTACATGGCCAGCCAAACTTGGCTTTGGGCCAGATGCCTTCTATGTTTATGAAATCTGCCAGTAGAATGCATTCTTGCTTAGGGGCCGTCCATAAATGACGTCACATACCTAGGGGGGGAGGGGGGTCAGACATTTGTGGCGATGTTTGACGAGGGGGGAGAGGGGGGTTGAGAAATGTGACGTCACGTAAAAATGCGCAACCTTAAATAAATATAAACAATATAATTGTTATAACAACACAAATTTTGATTCATTTTCATTATTAACTATTTGATTATTTACATTCTTAGTTTTTTCGGTAAAGTCACGTTGAAGAGAAACAACAAAATAATAAAATATATATAAAACAATAAAAAAATTATCACGACGTTTCGACCATAACTCAAACGGTCACCTGAAGATGACCGTTTGAGTTATGGTCGAAACGTCGTGAGAATTTTGTATTGTTTTATATATTTTTTATTATTTTGTTGTTTCTCTTCAACGTGACTTTACCGAAAAAACTAAGAATATGAATTACTGCAGTCACGAAAGCTTTAAATCAAAACTATTTGATTATTTAAATTTACTAAGG